GCCCCCTCCCCACGGGCCCCGGCCGCTCCGAGGCTGCCCCCTGCCGGTCCCGCCGCCCCGGCGGAGCCTCCGCACGGAGCGTAGGTGGGAGACGCGAAGAGGGAACAAAAAGGCCGGTGCGAACCCATCGCGGACGGGACCGCGAGCCGGGATGGAAATGAGAGCCGGGAATGTCGCGGAGATTGACAGCTTTCGGGATTAGTCCCAAAAAGGAGTTATGAAACTGAAAAGAAAGGCAAGTCTGAGGTGAAAAGCAAATGGCAACCTCGGGACAAACCTCTCCTATTTGAAGAAGGGCCCCCTGAGCTGAACAGCATCTACTGGCCACAAAAATCACCTCTTGGTTCACAGACTGGGTCCCCAGGACAGCACAGCAGTGGCTGTACTGGTCCCGCAGGTCAGACTGACAGGACCAGGGCAGGGCCACGAGAAGAGCCCGAGAACACCAGCCGTCCGTGTACCGCAGACGGGCCGCTGACAGCTGCCCTCTGCCACACCAGCATCCTTCCCAACACAGGCGGCCCATTTATTCCCTTCCAGGAATACAGATGCTGCCAGCAGTACCACAATTCTTCTAACCAAAGTATTAAATAGGAAGCCTTATTCTCAAAAGCAATGAAACTAGGACAGTTTTATGTGACATACTCTTTAATTCACTTCTTACTACCCTCAAGAGAAATATCCATCCCAATTTTCACCAACGCTTTCCGCTGATACATGTCTTTTCCTCATGGTGGGAGCTGAAAAGCAGAAAGCGTTCCAACTGGCTGCAGAGGCACAAGCCAAGTTTGAGAGACACACTCCTCTTATTAGATGTACTAACCTCTGCAAGGCTCTTTCTCCAAAGATGCAGGATTTCTTCTACTCCTTAATGCTTACTTTTTGCTCTTTCACAGGGATTTAGACAAAATGTAATCAGCTGAAACCCCAGAACTCCCAGACTGTCAGTTCTGCTGCTGAAACTGGCAGCTACAGAGGCAGCCAGGACCGCGGCAGCTGCGACGAGCCCTTTGAAGTGAACAGAGCTTCCACTGAAACTGCTGCAAAGAAAGGAAACAGCACAGGGTGGTTCTTTCTATTTTTTAAAGCTTTTACTCACAAATATTCACCTACTACTATGTGGATAGAAAGCAAGCCACTTCTTTTGGTTAATTAGCAGTTGTTCTTTGTACGAGCCTCAGCCAAAGACAAAGGAAACTTTAAAGGCCTCACTCATCAAATGCCACAGCTTGTGCTCAATGTGAAACTGCCAGCGCTGATGGTTGCACAGCTATAGCTCACGCTGAGCTTGGGAGTGGATCTGTATTACGAAGTAATTGCTAAGCAATCGTGTCACAGAAGAGCAAACTTCTTGCGAAAAGATTTGGCCAAGTCCCAGCGGCGGGTCAGTCCCAAACTCGAGCAGCCTGCCAGCAAGCAGGACGACCCCAACACGTGCTCATGCCTCACGTGAAGGCATCTTCCGTACCCCCCAGCTGTGTAGTCAGCAGTTTGTCTCTCTTGTTCATTTGGGTTTTAGTGCCCTTATCTGCACAGATGACACTTGCAACTTTGCAACAGACCCATCAGATCTAACCCAGACTGCCCAAGACTGCATCAGAGTTGAGGTCTGCTTCCCTTTCTGGTTATGCTCCGTAACACCAACGTTCTGTGGCATTCTACTGCCACCAGTGTGTGAAGGGAAAAGGAAAAAGGCAGCAAGCTGACACTGAGGGAAGAATAAAACAAAGAGGAAATGATTCATAAAGGAAAGAAGCCAAGAGACTGTTATCAAATATTAAACCAATAAAACCTCCGCAAATTATCTTTCAGGGGAAAAAAAGGTAACTGGAATCCAATACAGAAAAAAGGAAGAGACTTAAGATTCTGCATAGATTTTGTCAGAATAAAAAAAGACCTGCACACTCAGTAACCAACGTACCACATCAAAATCTGTATTAGCGGTATATATCTGTGATCTATCAGATAACTTCCTGGTAAATACTTCTTGCAAGCCCTTACAGGGCATAAGTTCAATTCTCCATGACTCTTCCTCTTCACAAAGGCTTCTAAAACAACATTAGGCATGAAGAAGATTATACATGACTAATTTGGAGAGATTATTCCTTTTTAATAAGCTTGCTTCAGATCTCTCCCAACGATACCAAAAGGAATAGACCAGGCTGTGCTATCCCCATCTTTCCCCGGCTGTCCTACGCGAGGGCACAATCCGGGGTGCCAACAGCCATGGCGCTCCCAGAAGGCACAGAATGCTTCAGCTAACACCGCGGACCTTAACAATATGCACTCACGTTCTTCCAGTCAAGGGTCATTCTTGTATTAACTGGGGACAATCTGGACAGTATCTATTCAAAGATCATGTAATTTGTGAAGCATTCTGACTTAACACCCTCAGAAATAGATGTAACATACATGATATTCTTTAAAATAGAGTAACTAGCTCTTGCAGAGCAGACCCTCCAAAAGTGCATTTTTAAAAAGCACTAACATTTTTAATTAGTAAATTCACTGCAAGCTCTAATTCTTTAATTTGTTATAGCGAAACAGACCTCTGTCATATCAAGAGGTACTGACCTCAGAATTCTGTTTAAGGAATTTAGTAAGTGCTCCACATCACTATCTGTGCAGCTATACTAGAATTTTCGAGCACTTTTCTACAAAGTCCATACTTTCTTCTCCACTAAAAACACACTCTCTATACAATCTTCCAAAGTGGTAACAAGAAACTGAGAACTGAAGTACTTTTTTTGGAAAATTGTATCTGAATATAGCGTAAGGAATAGCTTACTGTTTTACAGGAGACCACTTAAAAATGGCCATACACGGTACAGACGTGAGGCAGTGCTCAAGTGTACCGTAAGCTGCTGCTGTGTGCTTCCATTCCTAGGTGTACATGTCCTCAAGCCTCTCTCAAGCTAAAGGAGACCTATTTAGCTGTTAAACCAGCATGTCCCCACCCCTTCTAGTTTCACAGATTTACGTTAACCTGATTGCCATGATAATGTCATACAGCTTTTGTTAGGTACCAGAACATTTCACAAGGATAATACTCCTCTTTGAGCACGAGTGTCCATTTCTCAACATTGCTTCCACATGTCCAACTCAGCAGTGTGTCAACAAACCCTCATATATTGGTACTCAAAAATAAGAGCTGAAAATCTCAACCAGTCATTTCCTGTTTCAGAACAATAAAGTTGTCCAAAACCTGTTTCTCCTTTCAATTGTCCACAAATTAGAAACCCACAAAGGCAAGTTTTCATCATGGCTTTTGACTGGCAAAATGTCTGTTATTTGCCAAAAGTTTCTTTTACAAACAAATTTAGTGTCATTAAATGCTATTCTTAAATAAGGAGTCACAAAATTGGCTTAAGATATGTAGGGTTAGTACTAAAATGCATGATACAGATAAAAATACAGTATGAAAATGAAATATGAAATTTGCTAAACCACGTAGGATATTTTTAATTATAAGGACCAGAGTTACTGTTAACTTTAGAACAGAACAGGTTGTTTCAGTGGGAAGTGGCCCACAAGGACCCCCCGGTCCGACCACCTGACCGCTCCAGGGCTGACCAAAAGGTGGTCCCTAAAGCACGTTGTCAAGGGCATTGCCCAAACGCCGCTCGAGCACTGACAGCCTGGGGCATCGACCGCCTCTCCAGGGAGCCCGGCCAGGGTTTGACCGCCCTCTCCGTAAAGAAACGCTTCCTGATATCGAGTCTGAGCCTCCCCTGACCACTTAATGAAATTGCTATCCACTAACCTGTTCTCTGATTTGAGCAACAGCAAACAACGAGGTAGACAATAACTCACATAAACTTATGGGTTGAAAAATATTTCATTGCTGGTATAGCAGATTAGTGGAAGGTGTTCCTGCCCAGGGCCGGGGGGGCGGAACTAGGTGATCTCTAAGGTCTCGTCTGACCCAAACCATTCTGTGATTCTATTTCAATCCTTCTTTTTGTTCCCTTCCTAGAGGACAGCATCATGAAGTGTAAAAGATGCCACAGAAATGGAAGTACAATGACAAATGAACCCTACAGTACAAGCACATCTGCCTTTACATGTTCCCAATAGGTGGCAACAGAATACCAAAAATACAGAGTAGTTTACAATTCTTTCTTCACCCACCAAGTAACGGAAGCCCCGTTACAAGTTCTTTCCATGAACTTGCACCAGCAATTTCATTCAAATGAATCATTGCATCTCAGCAACAGAAAATCTAAGGACAGTTAATGTCAAAAGCCAGAGAATTCACAAAACAGAAACAAAGCATTTATTAAAAAGCTAGGTGTATCGAAACAACTAACTGATGGCTTATGCTCCAAGCTTAGCTGAGGGAGTAAACTATTGCAAGCAGGAATTTACAGTAACAAAATGCTTCCGCACATTAAAGAAGAAATGTTAAGGATGAAAGAAAATTTTAGACTGATCTTTTTTGTTGTTGATTATCCACACCTTGGTCTTTAGCAGAATTTATTTACAAGACTGAATAAAGGGGTGAGCATTTTTAAACAGAGAGTTCAGTGGACAAACCCCAACTTTATCAGCAGTAGCAGGACCATACCAACTCCCTGATTCTTTAGTAGAAATCACAGGAGATCAGAGTTGTTCTTCCCTTGACGGTTACACGACTAGTTTGTTTCTGTGGCATAAAGCTATGCAAATCAAGTCTAAATAATGACTACTTACTTGCTTTCAAAACCAGCTAAGTCACGGTTCAAAGAAACTGTCTCTGTCGTAATCTCCACCTTTCTCACACTGCCAAAGAAGTCTGTTATCAGAACGTTTTGCGGGTCTCGCTGAAAGAGATCAGTTCGGTGCCCAGGTGTGGAAACGCACAAACTTTTTGGACAGACCTGAAACTGGAAACCAAGACAGACAGTCATATCCTGTCCCTCATTCATCAATAGTCCCCACATACACCTTCCAAAATGAAATTGCTATAAAAAGATAAATGCCTGACATAACTTGCATTAATTTCAGTACAAGCTCCACAGCTGAAAAAAATGAAGAAAAGGCATGAACACCTTGATTATGCATTTCAGAAAACCTTTATCCTCACGGTTATGCCGTTTTGAGTTTAGAAATGCTCCTGTGAAAGTCATCGATTACACCTAGGTGATGAAATGCACAAATGTATTTCTGAATATAGATGCAGCCATGCTGCTATAACCTTCCAAAAAGCACAAGCAGGTATAAATTCTTCATATTTACCAAAGGGAGGCAGGCAAGATCAAACAAGCCTTGATAAGTAGTTAATAGTAAAGGCTTCATAAAAAAAGCAAGAATTTACATTTTGATTGGAAAGAAAAAAAATCTCTTAGTCTTATTTCTAGTTTATAGCCTGTGAATTAATGCAGAATTACCATCGTCAAATATCAAAGGTGTTTTACGTATATTAAGTTCACAGAGACAACCTCTAAAACCCACCCATTAGCTATATACCTTACTGTTTATTTTACCTACGTATTTTGTCTGCATACCAGACCCACTATATCTAGCACACACTACAACACCTGGAAGACAAGAACAGCGCTAACAAATTGTTTTCAATGGACTCAATTCTGTATAAAGGCACATTTGCAGAAAATAAGCAGGTATAATAGCAGCAGATTTGTTGTAGCACTTAGAATATCTGACAAGACAGCATGCCTGTTAACCAACAAGACTGTTACATACCCAGCAGATATTCAAGGCAAAAATCAACGTGTTTTGGACACGATGCCTTTTTGCACAAGTCCTACCACACTCACCACAAAAGTCTCTGCTATTCCCCATCTGGACAGATTCCTTATTTCAAGGGATCATGTAACATACATAATGTAATACAATAAATAATAATAGTGTTGTATTTTCATTAATAATGCTACATCGCTTAGAGTGCCATGAAGTGCAGCCCAAGGCCTCACTCTCTCTAGCCTCCCTGACGAGCTCAGACAGTCGAGTTCATGTCTCAGTCCCTGGAAGGCACCCCACAACCAAACACCGCCCCACTAGGCACAGGAGCTGGACGCACATCCCTGCCAGAGAGGCGCCAGCTCTGCAGCGCTCCCGACAGTTGTACGAGCCAATTCGTCCATTCGACTGCCTCACGGGCAACCCACAGACCACCTGGTAACAGCGCAGGCTACGTGAGTCCTTGCACGTTCCAGCAACAAAGAACATTTAACAGAACAGATTAATACACAGGACTACGACGGGTGCTCATCTTCCTTAATCTTAAGTTCTCCAAGTGATTTTCACAAACAGCTCCATCAGTCACGGGATCTACAGCTCATACACCTAATCACACCACAGGTCAGCTCTTGGAAGGACAAAAATCACAGGTCCTAACTAGCTCAATGCAGATGCAACCTCAGTTATCCCAGATGACAACTGACAGAACCTGCGGGTTTCAGTCCGTACTTCCTAGCAGAAATTCTGTGCTCAGCCTGACCCAAAACACACGGCCTTGCGTGGTCCTTCTCTTAGGACAACAGAGCCCTACATTTAACAGGTTTCCCAGAGAGGAAACAATGTACCTGGCTTTTCTTCATAGAGGACAGATTCTATCCTCCCTTCTGCTCCATTACAGCTTCTCTTTCATACCTTGCCTTTTTTGCCTAAGCCTGTAAGCACACGGCATTCGGCTGCTGGCCCAGAGAGACTTCACCTCGCTTCCACCTCTGCCTTAACTGCAGCAAACAAGCACACATCTCCACTGAGCTTGCTCTTAAGGATTCCCAGCCCTCTTGCTGGCAGAGCATCACACCGCTACAAAAGAAAAGAGGGGCAGATCAAATCTTTCTGTTATCCTCCCTGTGAAGTGAAAATGAGCTAGACTGATCAGCATCACACGTCCCATACAAAGCCACTTGACAATGCACAGAAACCCTCTTAAGTTTCAGTTTCACCAAAAGGCAACCAATTTTCTTCAACTCTGCTCCAGCTAAGGGCAGAAACATAAAAAAATGCTCTCTGAAGTAAGCTATAAAAGCTAAGTATTTGTTTTAATCCCATATTTGATGCATAAATCTACGCTGCAGCTATACCATCAAGTCTCTCTGACACTCTCTTGAGAGCCTGGAAATGTCCCAAAACAACTGCATCAGCACTGAAAGTGGGAAATTGACACCCCACGCGGTACTGCCAACCTGTCCCACCACAATTCACTACCGCAAGGAGTTGAGATGGATCTTGAACAAAAATGTGCAGTGGCACTGAGAAGACGACTTTGGTATTAAAAATCTGCCCACTCAGTACCAGCGCGAGCAAAGGAGGACTGCAAAGCAATTACACCACAGGAGACCAACCCTACTAACCGAGGTCTTGTGACAAAAAAAGAAAAGGCAAACACTGGCTAAATGAAACGCATTTGTTCCTGTGTCAATCTTCCCAATTTTTTTTCAGATAAGGTATTATTCAAATGAAGCAAAACAATTCCCTAAAACGTGAACTTTGTTATCTTGACTTTTCTTAACAACTTTTTAGCTATTTTATGACAAATGGTATCTCATTTAGAAATTTATTTGAATCTTATTTTAAAAGTTCAAATGTGTGACATTTCAATTTAGTTTTTACTCTTCTGGAATTGTGATGAAACCAAAAGTCAGTCATTTGCACAGCTTTATGCTATCCCTTAGCAACACAGATGGAGCAGGTGGGGAGTAGGTGGAGTGGATTATGAGAAAAGATGTCTCATTCTTTGCAG